GGCGAATTCCTTCGTCGAATCCTCCACAGGCTTAAAATGACTTATGATAAAAGTATGAAACCGAAGTTCAAAAAAGCCGAAATTGAAAAGTTATCACTCGTTACGTGGCCGCGCGCCACGAGGGGATGCAGTAGTACTCATTGCTTGCTCCGCCCATTCTTTTCTCAGTTTTTCGACGATGTTTTTTGCTTCATCTCTCGTGACCCTAAAATAGTAAAAGATAAATTTGGAAATTGACTGTTTTCTGTAAAAATAAATAAAAGTAGTTACGTTGATCCATGTTCTTGGGATCTATTTTGAGCAGATGGCGGTGCAGCAGTGCTGGATAACATTCTTCTTCTCTCATATTCGTACGGATTAGGGATGGGCAACGACATACTGACTGCTCGAATACTTTCTTTCGTTTTGTAAAAATTCGCCTGAAATCAACTTAGGCTAGAACGGGCCCGTGCGATCATGCGTTTTTGCACCGGAATTGAATTACTCCGGTCATTAACTGTACGAATGGCTGTTGCTTTACACCTACCTGCTGCGGTCACTAGCATAAATCACCATAAATTTTGCAAAGTAAATGTACAATTTCCATTTTACAGTCGTTCTTTAAAAGTAACCTAGTTGTTCAGTGTGAAATTTTTCTACCAAGACTTTTAAGTGCCCGTACGTAAGAACCACACATACCTCAAGGCTAAATTTGAAATACTGATGTTGTACTCGGGCAGGGAACACTCCATCAATATTTCAGCTTTCCAGCTTTTTTGGTTACCGAGTTAACAGTTTTCCCGCTAACTTCACATACTGTACTTGGGTACTTCACGTGCTTGAAAAGCTGAATTTGAAGTTTTTAAGTTACAGGTGGGCAGGGAGCACCCGCCTAAAATTTCAGCCTTCCAGCTCTTCTGATTGCCGAGTTAGCAATTTTCTTGCAGAAACTTTCATACTCCCTTACATGAGTACAATGCACAGTTTGAGGCTGATTTTGAAATATTTGAGTTGTACCTGGAAGGAGAAAATATTCCCAAAATTTCAGCTTTCTAGCTTTCCGGGTACTTGAGACAGCAACTTTCCCCCTAAAACTTTCGTACGCCCTTACGTGAGTACCACGCGTTGCTTCGGGCTGAATTTGAAATCTTTAGCTAGTACGTGCACAAGGAATATTCCTACAAAGTTTCAGCCCCTTAGCTCATGCGGTTCCCGAGATCTCTTTCCCGCCAAAAAATTTGCATATTTTTTTAAGGCTTCCGTACGCGGCACTTAGGCTTCCAAGGGGGATGAAATTAAAACGGGAAGGTCGCGCATAGTGTGGGCACATATCCCCAAAGTTTCAACCTTCTAGCATTTCCGGGTTCTCGATGAAAGTGGGTGACAAAAAGTGCGAACACACAGCCACACACACACACACACACACACACACACACAGCCTCTTCCCAATACGCGTTTTTGCAATTTACATATATGCAAAAACGCATAAAAATGATACAGAATCAAGTCATCGGGCGAGAGCATTCGCTTAGAATGCTAGTGCGACAATACAGGTTGGAACGAACCAGGCTTGTCGGTACGAACATGTGCTTTTGCACTAAACTTAAAGTAGACAGGTTAAAGACCTGCATGAATGATTGTTGCTTTACGTCACTACTGTAAATCATCGCAAATTTTGCATAAACGAAAGTTCTGCAGCCGTTCTTTGAAAATAACCTATCTGTACAGTGAGCAAATTTCACGCCAAAACTTTCACGCAATCGTACGTGAGGGCTATGCATACCTAGGGGTTGAATTCGAAATCTTTAGCTTACAAATGCACAGAAAATACCCTTGTAAAGTTTCAGTTCTGCATCTTATCTAGTTTCCGAGATCGCTTTTTCACTCGAGTTTAAAGTGGGTGGCAAAGGATGCAAACACACAGACACACACACATACAACGAGAGAGCATTCTGCCAAAATGCAGCATTTGCATAATATGCAATCCAGGCTACAAAGCACCAGGCTTGCCAGCACGATCATGCTTTTTCGCGCTAAGCTTGCAGATGGCTAACAGCAGGCATAGTCCTGCGCTGTATTCAAACACAGCCAGTATGAGTTTCACCCTCCAAGTTGAATTAAGACCACACGTGAATATAGAGTATCCTTGCAAAGTTCCAACCTCACAGCTTGCGGAATAACCACTTCGCTGCAAATATCTTTGAAGTGCCTTACGTTGTGGTGCAGGCAAATCGGAACTCAGTCTAGGGGTATGATTTCCAATATGAATGATAAATGCTCTAACAAAACTGAGCCACTGTTTTCTAGCCAGTTTTCGAGTTAGTACACTGCTAATTGCGAAATTGTACACGCAGTATAAGCTGCGCCTTAGCCGAATTTGAAATAGCTGAAACAGGCCGAAACAATATCCCAGCAAATTTTCAGCCTTCTTTATTGCCTGGTTCGCGAAATTGGTTCTTTCCCATGAAATTATCATATTTTTTTTGGGGATTTGCACGTGAGGTCTAGGCGCGTATGAGCGAAGATTGTAAAGAAGGAGGAAGGGGAGAGAATGACATACGGAATGGTAATATGTCCCCAAAATTTCAGCGTTCTATTTTCCTTGGTTGCTGAGTTGGAAGTGGGTGACAACGTTCACTTGCTTGCGAAACGCACACGGACGATCTCTAAACAATACCACTGCACAGCAGCAACGCATGAAAACGCATAAGTTGAATTATAATTTAAGGCTATGCATGTCTTTCCACGTTTTCGCCAAAATTTTTTACATTTTATTAACTTCATTTAAAAAATGATGCGAGAAAAAAGCAGTCTAGTTGCACCATGTCAAAAGGATCCAAATCCGGAGCCACAGCGATATCCACGCCATTGCCATATAGTATTTCATGCTCCTTCAAAATACTGTCAATCCGATAGAGCGTTACTGGACCATACACCGGTATATGAGGAAGTACCTGCAGTGAACACAAATAAGCTTCGTTGTTTTTTGCAA